GTGAGTTTTGGCTATCTTGTCCCCCTGTTAGCGACACTCTTCGTGGGAGGGAGTTGTTCTTCCATTTTGATGCTGCACCAATCGAGTTTAATACAGGAAGCAAGCCCCTAACTTGAAATATTAGTGTGTAAATGTGTGTGTATACTCTTAGGTGTGTCGTTAAGGAGAAGAATCATGGTGAGGTATCATTCCGGTGAACTTTTGGGTTTATTCTAAATGATATCAGGTGGCCAGGTGGGTTTGAGATAGAGAGATGGTAGCAGAGAAGTTGTAGTCAAAATCAGAAGACGTTTTGGTCTCTGGTGGCTGGCGAGATGGAGGCACAGGTGATAGATCAAGTGGTAGCTTCTGGCCGAGAATTAGTAGTATTTGTACCACATCGCATATGGGTCTTTTCCGACGAACCTCCATGGAACCAGTGAGCAATTTAATGGAGTCGAGTTCCACTTGGAGCTCATGAGCCGTGGTTAGGTTAATAGTTCCTGATGACCAAGGAATAAGCATACATGAAGAAGATATGAACTCCTTGAAGCTCCGATGGCGGGAGGATGTCATAATTAATTTCTTGGCAAAGCTAGTTAAGGAAGGGGAAAGGGCTAACTTCTATAGCCTGAGGTAGTTAAAGACTGTCAGAGATGAAAGGGGACATCACCGATGAGGAAGCCGTGGCCATAGCTAGCTACGCCACCAGAGTTGAGATCGTCATGGGAGTTGGATGCGGCGGTTGTGCTTAGGTGGACGACGCAAGTAAGGAAAAACAGGGCTTCTCCTATATTGGTTGACGTTTTGACTAGGTTAATTAGAATTGGACAATTAATCGTTTGCGCTAGTTTTGTTTTTCGGCCTTTCTAGTATTAGATTTGGAAATCAAAGTGATATGAATCCGGATGGGCTATTGAATTGCATCTAGTTTCATAGCTGCTTTTTGGGCTAGATGCAATTATTCATTTAGTTGAAGAATTGGTAATAATCATTTTTATTTATGACTTATGTAAGAACCATTTCTTTATCAGATTCTAATTAATTGGCCATGTATCATTGTGGTCGATTATTTGGGGTAGATAGAGCGTTATTTTCATTTTATTAGAATAGGTGTATTATAATGATTTAATACATTGGGCGATATATATTCGTTGATCGTGTGTGTATAATATATAATATATATATATATATATATATATATATATATATATATATATATATATATATATATATATATATATATATATATTATATATACAAAATTTTTGTTCTTCAATTTTATAACTAGAAAATGACTAGTTTTGTTTTTAGATAACATATCTGTTTGTAACGAATTTTAATACTTGCTCTTATGAATCGTCTAACATCATGAATATGATTATTGTTTAAAATTGTGCCTTGATTATTAAGTTTATAAGAATCTTTAAGATTTTGCTCAGAGTTATTAATAGATTCTTGGATTTGCTGTATTTTTAAAAGAATATTTCTATTAGGAATACAATTCATCAAGATTTTGCTAGACATAATTAAATGATTTAACCATGAATTTGATTAATTTGATTATTAAAAACGAGTACTATTTTAACAAAAATTTCAAATCTTGTAGAATTAATAGTTAGAATAACTCGAAATGAAATTATCATAAAAATAACACAACGATAGAATATTTTAGATAATACCTTCTTGAATTAGGCTTGAATTACAATCAGTACATACTTCTGGAGAAAGAATTATTTGAAAATCTAAAGACTTTGAACATCTACTAGTAGAAAGAGAGACTCTTGGAGATTTTTTAGACATTGGATGAACATTTTTTAGAGAATGAAATTTTTCTTGTGTCTTCAACTAAAGGATAGCCTCTATTTATAATCATCTTGGAGTCTTCAAAGTCTTGAAATCATCTTGTGATAATTTTTGCCGTAAGAATCCATGGCCAATCAATAATTATTTGCAAGTGGTTGTCCTTGAAAGTGGTTGTCATTCATCTTTTGAAACAATTGTCGTTTGTAATCAATACCATCTTCTTTTGATAAAGCAAGCCATTATAGAGCATCTTCTAAAGTTTTTTGTCTTCATATCATCATTGATTATAGATTTGATAATAATTTTGATAAAAATTGTTTATACATAAATACATGAATACCTACATAGTATACATGTATTCGTACTTGAAAAACGAAATTTTGATAATAGAAAAACGAAATATCTTACATTTAAAGTATTACATCAAATTTATGGATAATGATTTCTTATTCTTCATAAGGATCATCAAAAGGGTCTTGAGCGTCTTCAAATAAATCATTCTTTATAGATTTTGGAGAATCGTCAGAAACTGATGGAGTTTGGCGAATTTCTTGAAGTAATTTTTGAAGTTCTTGAGGAGAAGAGGTAGCAGCATCTTTAATTCTTGCAATTAGATCCACATCACTTTTGGGAAGACTGTTGATAAAAGTGGCTTCGACTTCTGGTTTTTGAATATATATTTCTTGATAATGTTTAATTACTGCTTGTTCACTAGCTTGAGAAATCTTCATTTTATCCCACCATTTTGAGCGAAATTGGCGATTAAGCCAGGGAGGAGAGGAGTCCTTTGCTTCTTGATAATGAAAAGTCCAAGACATTATCCATGGAACTTTAAATATCATAGTGAATTGTAACATGTATTCAAATTCTGGAATTTGTTGAATAAACAATTCTTTAAATTTGAGATATCCATCGTAAATTTCTTTTGGTAAACAATTTGGAAGAATACCCATATATTTGTACCAATTGATAAACCATCTTGGATATTCACAATTGAAGTTCAAATCAAAGAAGATAAACCATGAATGTGAATAATTCCGAATAAAGAATGCCTTAGTCCAGGCGTCTTGATAATCATAGTAAGAAAATTTGGGATAAGCAGGATAACTTATAAGAGGTTTTTCAGAGTGAAGGTTTGGAACCCAACTTTCTGGAGAAATGATTTTGATAATATGAGCTTTGCTAAAATCAATGTTTCCCTCTTTAGAATTAGAACGATGAACAAAATTGACTGAACCAGATTCTTGCAGAATAGCTTGATAATATTCTCGGGTTTTATATGAATCAACATAAAAGGTTTTTCCTTGTCCAAAGAGATGATTGGTGAGAATATGAAAACCTTGGTGTAACTTATGGATTTGAAAATCTTCAAGAATTTGAACTCTTAGGAAATTTGGATTAAGAACATAAGGAGTTTTTGTAGAAGGGCTAGGAGTAACAGATTTTTGAGTTTGAGGAGTGATAGGTTTTGCAAAAGGGCTTATTGTGTCAGTTGAAGCAACTTTTGGAGTAACAAGTTTTGACTGAAGGATATTAGAATAAAGTTGTGAATTCTTAGAAGTAGGTGTTAAAGGAGAAAAACGATTTTGATTTTGAAATGGAACTAGCTTTTGAGAGGCTGGAACAAGATTTTGATAGACTGGCTTCTTGTCATCATGTTTGGAAGAGGACGATGAACTCATTTTCCCTGCAAAAATTCTCGAGAAAGAAAGTCAGGAAGTGAGTTATTTTCTCCTTTTATAAATTCTATTTCGAAATCAAAGTTACCTAAGAGGGCTTGCCAACGAGCAAAAATTTGCTTGGAAATAATATTTTTTACATCTTTTTCCAAAATACTTTTTGCAGATTGACAATCTATTCTTAATAAAAAAGTTTTCATAAATAAATCATCTTCAAATTTCTTAATACATAAAACAATGCTTAAAATTTCCTTTTTGACAGTTGAATAATTTTTCTGTGTATCATTCCATGCACCAGAGTAATATCGAACCAATTGCTCTTCAGTTGAGTTAACAAATTTTTGTTTTAAAATTCCTCCGAATCCAATATCACTAGCATCGGTTTCAACTATGATTTTGGCATCGGGATGAGGTAAATTTAAACATGGCAAAGTAGGGACCTTTTGTTTTATATATTTAATTATATCTGTATGTTTTTGAGTCCATGGTTCAGGATTGTCTTTTAATCGATTATAAAGCGGTTTACATATGATCCCTAAATCTTTGAAAAAATCATGGATGTAATTTAAGCATCCTAAAAATCTTTGAAGTTGTTTTTTATCTTTAATTTCATCAGGAAATTTAGTAGAAAATTGCAAGCTTCTTGTTATAGGTCTAATAGTGTTTTTGACAATATCATGTCCTAAAAAACGAATTTCATTTTTAAATAAATGCATTTTTGTTGCAGAGACAGCTAAACCATTTTGATAAATTAAATCATGAAATTGATTTAAATGTTTAAAATGTTGATCAATTGATTTTGAAAAAATTAGGACATCGTCGATATAAGCAATAGCAAAACTACTTATAGGAGTTATGATATCATTCATAATATTTTGGAATTCAGAAGGAGCATTTTTTAATCCAAAAGGCATTACATTCCATTCAAAATGCCCAAAGGGAACATTAAAACCAGTTTTGTATTTATCTTCCTCATGAAGTTGTATTTGCCAAAATCCTGATTTCATATCAAACTTTGAAAATATTTTTGAATCATAAAGCTTTTTTAGCAAATTTCGTTTATTAGGAATAGGATAACGAATCCATTCTAAAACTTTGTTTAAAGGTTTATAATTGATAACTAATCTTGGTGATCCTCTTTCTAATTCTGCAGCATTCATAACATAAAATGCTGAACAAGACCATGGTGACTTAGAAGGTCTTATGAGTTTTTTATTTATTAAATCTTGAATTTCATTTTTACAATGACT